GGTCAGTGATAAAGTAGTCTACAGTACTACTGCCAAGAGATGAGCTATAGGTGTACCTACCATAGGAGTCCCCTCGAAGCCTACCATTGACTATGTACATACCCAGTGTGCGACAGAGCTGCAGGAGTCGTGACCCGTGTTTGTTGGTTAAGTCTGATCTGAGGGGGCCTAAATGGGGTGTGGGCATGGTTGACTTGGGGGGGAGTTAATTGGTGGGGGTGGGGGTGTAGATGTGGTTGATGGTGCTGTGGTCTGGATGTAGGTCCTCTCTGCGGGGGTCCTCTATGTGTAGGTCCTGGGGGGGGTCCCGCAGGTCTGGGAGAGTGTCTCGCTGGTCTGGGCGGGGTGTCTGTTGATCTGTTGCTCCTGTGTGAGGTGTTGGGTCTGCGGTTGAGGGTGATATCCTTTAGGGTCCGGGCGAAGGTGGGCACTGCTGCCTTGGATAGGTGGACCTGGTCATAAAGGCTGTTCACATCCAGGGTGGAGTGGTGGGCCAGGTAGACATTTGGTTTTGATGCACAGTCACGGGAAATACTTGCGTTTACCCGCTGTATGGTAGCAGGGTGGAAGTATTTTCGTGGTAACAGGGTTGAGATAACCACTTGTGCGTTGGGGAAAGTAGAAGAAGCTTTTTCTATCACTCCCTTGAGTGATATGGCCACCCTTTCCTGCTGTGTTCTCAGGTCGTTTGTGCCTGTGTGTATTATTATGTGGCTGGGTGATCCTAGTCGGTCCTCAGACAGAAGGTCTAGGGCGCGCTGGGTGTTTGGACACCAGAGTTTAGACACTGTGTGTTTTGGAAAAAGTTTATTTTCTTGTATGTATTTCCTGTTTGAGTCCATAAGGAGTACAATCTGTGGCTTGTTTATGTCCTCAGTGGGTGTGGGGGGTCGTCATGAGGGCTATCAGGGTGTCTGACTGGGGGGTTGCTCAGAGGGGTTGGGATCCCCTGGGCTTGGGGTTCTTCATTTGTTTGTCTGGGTGTGATGTCGAGGCTATGGTCAGGGTCTAGGGTGTACTGTTCTGCTGCGGTGTCGAGACTTTGGCCAGGATCTGAGGTGGGCTGTTCTGCTGGCTTCTCTGCGGGGGTGGCCAGCTCTCTAATGGGTTGTTCTATGTCACCCGTCATCGTTCTCACCTTCTCCTCCAGCACTCTGATCCTCTCCTCTAGTGCTCTGTTCTTCTCCTGCTCCTGCTCTTTCTCCTGTTGATGTTGTCTCACCACAGTCCAGAGTGCAGACATGTCTCTCTCTACCTGCAGCTCTTCAGGTCTAGTTAAGGGGGTGTTGTTGTGCTGGACTGTTGTCTGGGTCTGTGCTGACTGGAGTGTGTTCACCTGCTGTTCCAGCTCCACCTGCCTTACCTCCAGCTGGGTGAATTTATCCTTCATTTCAATGAGGGAGTAGTACTCTGTGCTGGGAAGTTGACTTTCTGCTTGGGGTTGCTCTGTGCAGTTATTTAATGAAGAGGTCTAGTCTGACCCGCTCGGGGTAGGGGTATATTTCTCAAGGGAGAGCTTCTCCTGCTGAGCTATTACTTTGATTAGGTGAAAGTCCAGCTGGAACTGTTTGGTGTTGCCTTGAACCAAAACGGTTCCAGATTTATAGAGATTAATATTAGACGACTCAGAGTCCTCGTAGTCCAGTATCCTGAGTTTCCACCCGTCGCTAACACCCCCCCTCTTAACAGAGGGGTAGTGTGCTAGTATAGCACTGTGCCATGCCAGGGGATGGTCTGTGTGGAAGATAAGGTTGCTTATGTTCCCATTTTTATACAAATCAGCAAAAAGTGTCTCCTGCTTCCCCAAAAGAAGTTTCAATTTGTACTCTTTTCGTGTCTTGTCGTTTTTTACATTCAGAGGGTACTGTATTTTAATGACCTCTGAACAGTGGGGGGGTGCTTCTAAGGCCTATCCATTTGGTTGGGGTAGACTGTACGACTCTCCTGCCATTCTCTCCCTCCTACAATAACATTATCTCTCTCTCTCTCTCTCTCTCTCTCTCTCTCTCTCTCTCTCTCTCTCTCTCTCTCTCTCTCTCTCTCTCTCTCTCTCTCTCTCTCTCTCTCTCTCACACAATAATATTATCTCTCACTTTTCCTTCTCTCTCTCGCTCGCTCGCTCGCTCTCTCCCCACAATAACTCTCTCTGTTAAATAAACACCCTCTTGACAGGCCCTTAAAATATTCATGTCTGAGATGTTTTGTTTATAATGGGTTCTGACCCTTTGCTGGTGTGGAGTGTGGCTATAGTGATCTATGATCTTCACTATGTCCAGGCCTTAGTGATACAGTGCCAAATGAAAGTCTATACACCCCTTGCACAATCTTCACATTCTGCTGCCTTAAAATTAAATAAAAACATGTATTACATTTTATTTATTTCCTACCGATGTACACAACCTACTCCACATTTTCAAAGTGAAAGAAAAAGTAGTTTTGAAAATCAGAGACATGGTTTGAATATTGCTGTCCAGCAATGATTCCCCAAATAATATACAGAGCTTGTGTAATTTTGACAAAAACAATGGATAAGAGTCGTGCAAAGTTGATAGAATCTTATTTAAAATGATTCACAGCTGTAATGGCTGCCAAAAGTGCTTCCACCAAGTATTAACTCTGGGGTGTACCAAGTATTAACTCTGGGGTGTACCAAGTATTAACTCTGGGGTGTACCAAGTATTAACTCTGGGGTGTGAAGACATACTCAATCAAGACATCTTCGTTTTATTTTATTAATTTGGTACATTTTCTATAATTTTTCTTTCACTATGAAAATGTGGAGTAGCTTGTGTAGATCGGTAGGGAAATAAATTCCCTAAAATATATTCCCCTGAATTCCTATTGTAATCTATCCTGGGCTGGGAGATTCGGGAAAGCAGGGGAAATACTGAAACCAGCTGGGTTTTCCAAAGGAAATGTAGTAGTTTATCTGTGTTCAATTGTCTCCAGTTAGTATCAGTAGCAGCATCAATGGGAAATGACAGCGCAAACTCTTGGAACTGATTGGTGTGATTGTTTTGGAAACATCACTGTATGCTTATACTGTTAATGTACTGTACTTTTGGGTATCAACTCTTCATTCTACATCTTACATTGGTATTGATGTATACTAACTAACTAATCCAATAACACCAAATGTTAGAAACTTTAGCAAGGCTAATTTAGGCCTCTATTCCTCATGCTATTTAAGATTGTTACCTAAAATAAGCTAAGGCCGGAATTCGATCCAACTCAGATTAAAGGCCTGCGCACAGCGATACGCAATTAAAGGGAATTTCCCTGACGTTTGTGGAGATCACTTTCGCTGTAAACGCCACGATTGCTGACTCAAGGAGAAATCGCCTTTAAAAAGTGAACCGGGTAGCACAGGTCGTTAATGTGCGTTTGTTTGAATCCCGACCTAAATATCTCTCTTTAGTTTCTCGACTGTTGTCATGATAGCAGGGAGCAGTTTCAGTATGGTTTTCTGTCCACTTGTGTCCCTGTTGTTGACTCATTGTCGGTTAGTTGTTTGCTTACACAAATCAATGTAAAGGTGTGGTGGCTGTGTGTCATCACAGCCCAGGGAATGACCCTGTTGTATCCCAGAGTCAATGTGAAAACTCCCCCCTGGACTTTCTGAATCGTCTTTATATTGTTGCCACGGCATTATTTTCAAAGAACAGGAAACTGCAAAGTAACACTCGGTCTCCCATTGTCAGGATAGAAAATAAAAACACAGGAAAAAAACGTTATTGGCCGTACCTTCTAAAACATTTGAAAAACGTTTTCCTCAGTTTCACTTCACAAGCAATATTTGGTCCATATTCATGATTCTTCTCAGAGTAGGAGTGCTGATCTAGGATCAGGTCCCCCTGGTCCATATAAATCTTATTTATTATGATCTAAAAGGCACATCTGATCGTAGACCAGCACTCCTTCTCTGAGACACTGCATTATTACGTGCCCAGAACTTTCCCAAATGCTCAAAGTAGAGCCCAACTGTGTCTAACTGAATTCACTTTAAATGGAATAGAAAAATATATAATTGTTTGTACCATCCAAAACATTTCAAGAACTTCGTCATCAGTTTCACTTCATGCAGTTCAGAATGTTCCCAAATGTTCCACGTAGAGCCCAACAGCATGTAACTGACTTCACTTCCCAAGTCTCCAAAGTGACTCTTCCTTGATTAGATTTGGAAGTCCAAGGCTCTTGCCCCCAGTGGTAATTTGAGTTAATTGCTAGGGGATAATTACACCTCCAATGTACATTAGGTTACGTCAATCTGGATTAAGAGCTGCAATGGTTTTTGCCATGTAATCTGGTGTGGTGACTCAGTGGTGAATTAGGAGCAGCTGTGGCCTGCTGGAGCCGGTCATTGTCACCCCACAACTGCTCTCTTTATCTCTGCTTTTTTTTTTCTAGTTCTATCTCTCTCTCTCTCTCTCTCTCTCTCTCTCTCCAAACCCAGTGTCATTGTCACCCCACAGCTGCTCTCTTTATCTCAGCATTTTTTTTCTCATTCTATCTTATAGCAGCAGGCCAATGGCCCACAACACTTTGCACAATGGGTATGCTAAGATATCTATATTTAGTTTGATTCTATGTTATTTCAAAAGGTCCATCCAATTGGGCATGGACATCAATTCAACATCCATTCCATGTTTGTTCAACGCAATTTTGTTGAAATGACGTGGGAACAACGTTGAATCAACCAGTGTTTGCCCAGTGGGATGTCAGTATTTATGCAGGTGAAACTCTATTTTTTTTAGTCATTTAAGTGGTTGCAATTACATATTTTACATTGCTCTGTAGCCTAGTTGTGTTACATTTCTCCACAGTACGTTTCATTCACATCTCTCTGTGATTCACCCCCTCCGTTGTCCTAGAAATGTTTGGCAACCATATTGGGCTAATATCCACCGTCAGAGATTGCTAATTTTACCCGGTGACCTAGATGGTGTGTTGAGCATTCAGTGTTCAGTGGCAGACTGGTAGTAGTAGAGGCACAGTGTGGAATGGAAAGGAAAGGCCCAGATTTGAGGCAGCCAACCCAGGAGATAGAGCAGCTAATGGGGGAAGGCCATGTGGGCTCCCCCCTGGAGTGGTATGACTGGCTGGTAATAGGTAAGTAGGTAGTTAGGTGGTGTGCTGGTATAATTTAAATGGTTTGGAACCATGCTTGCATGATAAGTAACCTTGTCTGAGACCTATAGACTTGTGTTGGACTAAATGTCCAATTTTGTTTCATTCCTCTGCACCTTTGATGCTTTTTTTTTACATTTACGTCATTTAGCAGACGCTCTTATCCAGAGCGACTTACAGTTAGTGCATACATTATTCTTTTTTAATTTTCATACCCCATGGGAATCGAACCCACAACCCTGGCGTTGCAAACGCCATGCTCTACCAACTGAGCTACCTCCCTGCCGGCCATTCCCTCCCCTACCCTGGACGACGATGGGCCAATTTTGCGCCGCCCCATTGGTCTCCCGGTTGCGGCCAGCTACAGCAGAGCTTGGATTCGAACCAGGATCTCTAGTGGCACAGCTAGCACTGCGATTCAGTGCCTTAGACCACTGCGCCACTCGGGAGACATGCTTTGTCAGGTGTGTCGATGGCTATCCTACTCTGATTTCACTATCACTATTTATTTATTTATTTACATTTAACCTTTATTTAACTAGGCAAGTCAGTTAAGAACAAATTCTTATTTACAATGACGGCCTACCAAAAGGCAAAAGGCCTCCTGCGGGGACGGGGGCTGGGATTAAAAATAAAAATATAGGACAAAACACACATCACGACAAGAGAGACACCACAACACTACATAAAGAGAGACCTAAGACAACAACATAGCATGGTAGCAACACATGACAACACAGCATGGTAGCAATACCACATGACAACAACATGGTAGCAACACAACATGGCAAAAGCATAACATGGTAGCAGCACAAAACATGGTACAAACATTATTGGGCACAGACAACAGCACAAAGGCAAGAAGGTAGAGACAACAATACATCACGCGAAGCAGCCACAACTGTCAGTAAGAGTGTCCATGATTGAGTCTTTGAATGAAGAGATGGAGATAAAACTGTCCAGTTTGAGTGTTTTTTGCAGCTCGTTCCAGTCACTAGCTGCAGCGAACTGAAAGAGGAGCGACCCAGGGATGTGTGTGCTTTGGGGACCTTTAACAGAATGTGACTGGCAGAACGGGTGTTGTATGTGGAGGATGAGGGCTGCAGTAGTTATCTCCGATAGGGGGAAGTGAGGCCTAAGAGGGTTTTATAAATAAGCATCAACCAGTGGGTCTTGCGACGGGTATACAGAGATGACCAGTTTACATAGGAAAATAGAGTGCAGTGATGTGTCCTATAAGGAGCATTGGTGGCAAATCTGGTGGCCGAATGGTAAAGAACATCTAGCTGCTCGAGAGCACCCTTACCTGCCGATCTATAAATTACGTCTCAGTAATCCAGCATGGGTAGGATGGTCATCTGAACCAGGGTTAGTTTGGCAGCTGGGGTAAAAGAGGAGCGGTTACGATAGAGGAAACCAAGTCTAGATTTAACCTTAGCCTGCAGCTTTGATATGTGCTGAGAGAAGGACAGTGTACCGTCTAGCCATACTCCCAAGTACTTGTATGAGGTGACTACCTCAAGCTCTAAACTCTCAGAGGTAGTAATCACACCGGTGGGGAGAGTGGCATTCTTCTTACCAAACCACATGACCTTTGTTTTGGAGGTGTTCAGAACAAGGTTAAGGGCAGAGAAAGCTTGTTGGACACTAAGAAAGCTTTATTGTAGAGAGTTTAACACAAAATCCAGGGAGGGGCCAGCTGAGTATAAGACTGTATCATCTGCATATAAATGTATGAGAGAGCTTCCTACTGCCTGAGCTATGTTGTTGATGTAAATTGAGAAGAGCCTTGGGGTACTCCCTTGGTGACAGGCAGTGACTGAGACAGTAGATGTTCTGACTTTATACACTGCACTCTTTGAGAGAGGTAGTTAGCAAACCAGGCCAAAGACCCCTCAGAGACACCAATACTCCTTAGCTGGCCCACAAGAATGGAATGGTCTACCGTTATCAAAAGCTTTGGCCAAGTCAATAGAAATAGCAGCACAATATTGCTTAGAATCAAGGGCAATGGTGACATCATTTAGGACCTTTAAGGTTGCAGTGACACATCCATAACCTGAGCGGAAACCAGATTGCATACCAGAAAGAATACTTGTTACGGATACAGGTATCCTGTGTGTGTTTTTGTGTTTTTCCTCTCCTTCTGCCCTAATCACAGGTGTCCTTTATGTTCCTGATTGGTGGTCGTTGGGGTGTCCCACCTGTCCGACATCCGTTTGTCTGCTGATTGCTGAGGTGGACCAATCAGTGGACATTCCTCTGTATTGCACCACCTGTTTCTGGTTTTACACTTACACCTCCCATTGTTTTAAAAGCCAGTCAGTTGTGTTTGTTGGGAGACTATTTTCCGTATGTGAGTATGGATACTGTGGTGTCCTGTGTTTTGTGTACTCACTCATTTGCTGGTTACTCTGTTTGTTAACTATGTTGTGTGTTTCTGGGAAAAGGGGGATTTAAGCAAGTTGCCCTTGGGCATACATTACCCGTAGGAAGAAAATGGTCTAAAAACACTAGTTAGACCTGAGCGGACCACCCACTGTAATTTCTGTATGATTAGCAGTAGCTTAGCGGTTCTTGAGGCAGGCAAGATCAGTTTAGTTTTTTTTTTACATTATTGTTTCATTCCTTGGGTCCTGCTCAGCCCTTTTTCCCAAACCTTTACCGTGTGTTCAAAATAAACATCTTGTGTTTGACGGTAGCTTATGTTTTTTTTTTTTTCTCACTGTTTCCATGTCATGATTCTAATTTGCATGAATTATGTTACGGGTCTCTTTTCCATCCACCCTAGACTTTTAAAGCCACGGGGTTCGTAACAATACTATAGACATCAAGAAAGCCAGTCAGTTGATTATTTACATGTTTTTCCAACACCTTTGATAAACAGGGCAAAATATAAATTGGCCTATAACAGTTAGGATCAGCTTGATCTCCCCCTTTAAATAAAGGACGCACCGAGCCTGCCTTCCAAGCAATGGGAACCTCCCCAGAGAGGAGAGACAGGTTAAAAAGGTCAGAGATAGGCTTGGCGAGGATAGGGGCAGCAACCTTAAAGAAGAGAGGATCTAAACCATCTGACCCAGATGTTTTTTTGGGGTCAAGTTTAGCACCTCAGACTGCCTGCAGGGAGAAACATTGTAGCGGGGCAGGGGAGAAAGAGGGAGGTGCATCGGGGCTATTTGCATTAGAAGGGGTAACACTAACCTGACCTTTTTCTGACACGGGCTCCAAACTAATAATGGATCACAGTTATATAGCTTTTATTTGCACATTTTACTATATCTCAAAGGACTTGAGATACTTTATGGCAGGCTAACATTCTGTACCCTGTCCACCACAAAAACTGTATAGGGCCTAACTGAAAGCATGTTGGAAAAGTAGGCTAGCTCACCCTACTGACACAGTCAGTGCCATACAGCAAAGTCTGCACTCGAAAACTCAATGGGCCAAACATCCTTTGAGAAAGTGGGTCTGTCGTAACCTATTGGTACATTGCAGCCCCTTAGATTTCCCTCCTACTGCTACAGTGATACACTCAGTGTCTTCGACATCACTGCTGATCTGGCAGCATTGCTGACTGCAGCGCTGTGTGTTTTGTGTCCCCAATATCTACACAGTGCACTATATAGGGAATAGGGTGCCATTTGGGTTGAGCCATGGTGTCTCCACTAAGCACACAGAGTCACTTCTGTTTCCTGTCTACCCCCCCCCCCCGTCCCCGCCATCTCTCTCTCTCTGCTACGTTGTTGTGTTGATCTGCTGGCCTGTTGGTTACATAAGGTTAGTGGGCGGGGCTGTGTGAATACTGGCCCATTGGTTGCATAAGGTTAGTGGGTGGTACTGTGTGAATACTGACTCAGACACTGTCATTGACGGTGTCGTCAGAATAGTTAGTGATGGCAAATACACCCTGCCAGTGTATTATGACTAATATGTGTGGAAATGGAACAATATTCCAAATGTGAGGGTTGATGTGAGGTCCATTCATTTGATGACGCGGATCTTCCTCCTCAAATTGAATCATCGGTAGAAAACATGAATAGCCAGTTATAGTCCGTAAATGTGAGTGTTCTGCACTACATCACTAGATGTGTACAGTGTGTAACCGAGAGATTTAAGAGGAGTGAAACCAGTGATGATTGGCCTCTGTAGGACCTGCTTTGACACATTGAGCTCAAATCTCTTCCACAGAGACCTGATCCAGGATGACTGGAACAAACCAACGAAAGCACACACAACTTGGGCCACCATGACAACCTAACATGGTGGTGATATAATTAAAGGTTATTGTTGTTACAGACTAATTGTTGAGGGATTCTCTGTCTGAAAGGAGTCTAGTATGAGACAAAGAAGGATCAGACATAGTCTAGGACTGAATCTCCAGATTCCTAAGGAAGAAGACTATCTATGGTCCTGTCTCTGGTGCTTTAGCCAACTCCTGTCTGTGTTAATTCATTACCTTCCCAAGATGCATGTAGCCTATGTCTTGACAACAAAAGAAGAGTTGGCTACAGCACAAACAGTATATAGGACCAGACAGGCTAGCTTGTATCTCAGAGTTTCCCCTAACATTGTATAGGTGAGGCGTAGAGTCCTCGCCTAGCTCTGTTGACCCATGCCTAAAAGAGTTTGACTTCTATCAGTTTCAGTGGACAGGTTTTGTGCCACAGGGCTTGGATGTTGCTTTGGGGGCCTATGCTGTTCTATGCTGCTGCTGGGCCTTGGTCCTACTGTACACCAGCTTCTGCTATTCTGTGAACTTAGCAGCAGCTGGTGTGTCTATGGCCATGCTTCCTCTGTCTCCGCCTGATAGGTTTGTTCGAGCTCAATGCTGCTGACGTTACGCAGTCATCAACCCCCCAGTGCTCGGCGGCTAAGTCTCCCCTAGCTAAAGATCTAGGATCAGCTTCCCCTCCCCCAATCCTAACCTTAACCAATAGTGGGGTAAATGCAAAACTGACCCAAGATCAGCGTCTAGGGGTAACTTCACCCTACAACCATCGACCCCCAGCCGACACAGCTATGATCCATCACTACTGGAACACTTTGCCTAGGGATAACACACTGCCCAAGCCTGAGAGTGAACTGGGAGACAAATAGATTTTTTGCAATTGATTGCTGTGTGGGCTGATTGCACAATGTTTCGGTTGGTCTCACTTACAAGGAAACTGTGACTAAGTTTGCACTACAGCCGTGATAGGCCTACGGTGTGTCATCATCAGCCAATATGGGTGAGTTTCCTGAACCTTGTTTGATGGTCAATGTCTGTGTGAACGAACAACATTTGTCAAGTGAAGCACTTTGCTGTTCTACAAGTGATGTGGGTAGTCTGGGTCGTCAAAATAAATTGAGTACCAGATTAGCTACAAGGCTTTCAGGAAACCGGCAACTGAATGATAAGTACACAACTGTCTGTAGACCTTTAGGCAAGACTCCACTTTGACAACTTTGACTTAGCTTGTGAGCTGTTCTTGAAAGAAAAGCCTTTCTCCCACAGATTTCTTCTGCAGTGTGTTAGATAACTTCATTCAGATAACTCAGTCAAGGCTTGCACGTACACACACACACACATTCACTTTCAGGAACTGGACCAGTCAGTGGTCGGTTATTGTTCCTGTAATGAATGACAGTAGTCGTTTCAGCTGACGACCCTCGGGATTGTAGAACACAGAGTGTTTCCTGAGGGAAACCTTGTAAAGTCACAGTTCAGCCCTTTAATGCATAAAGACTACGGCCAGTGTCACAGTTCAGCCCTGTATTCTGACTCACAGCCGCCAACTCCTGCTCCCAAGAAAAGGACACAAGCTGGTGTGAATCAGATGTTGCCTTCCAAATGTCACCCTATTCCCACTTTAGTGCTCTACATTTGACCAGGGCCCATAGGGGTAGTGCATGCTATATAGGGTGACATTTGGGAGGCACACAGTCACTGACGTACAGAGCCTGACAAATTCAGCTGGGAGATTGTCAAATGTTATCGATGGCAGATCGTTTTGTGAACTCTGAGGATCAGTTCACCAACACTGGCCATGAAGAGCTACGGTTGAGCAGGCTTTTGTTCCAGCCTTGCATTGACACACCTGATTCAACTAATCAAGACATTGATTTGGAGGCCAGTTCTGCCGGATGGTTAGTGTCAAATCACTGAATCAGGAGGAGCCTGTCTGTCCGTAAGTCTGTCTTATCTGTTATTAGCCAGTGCTGTGGCGTTGTGCCTGTGCCTTGTAGGACACATTAGCACCGTTATATTTAGCCACTTGGTGACAGTGTGGCACGCTGCTTTCTGTCCTCGCTAATTTGTGTGACATCACTCGTCGTTCGCAGTGTTAGAGTGAAACAAGTCTACTTTTAGGAACAATATATACTAAGTTCAAGGTTTAGTTCCCTGTAGTTGTTTAAAATAATGTTAGTGCTTTGTGCTCTGAAGTGAAACTCAAAAAATGGTCTGTGAGGATTCGGATGAGGAGAGTGCACTTCTCTTGCAAAAGAGCATTTCACTGCTGGTTGATGTTTACACTTTCAGCTACAGTACAGTCCTACACTGTTGCAGTTAGCTAGTGGAGGTTCTTCTGTAGAACTTGTATAGTGAGACCTGGGTTCTAGTACTATTTGAAATCATTCCAAATACTTTAGCTGTGCTTTATTGAGCTTTGCTGGTGCAATGGAACCAATTGAAGTCCCAAAAGTGCAAACCTCTCCTACCTGGAAACACTAAAAGTATTACGATTTCAAATAGTATTTGAACCCAGGTCTGCAGTAGACTACTCCTTCCAGAAATAGGATGTCTGAGAAGCAAGGCTACACACCAGACAGTGCCTCTACACTCTTAGAGAAAAAGGTGCTATCTAGAATCTTAAAGGGTTGTTCGGCTGTCCCCATAGGAGAACCCTTTGAATAACTCTTTTTGGTTCCAGGTAGAACCCTTTTGGTTCCATGTAGAACCCTTTCTACAGAGGGTTCTACATGGAACCCTAAAGGGTTCCACCTAGAAGCAAAAAGGGTTCTACCTGGAACCAAAAAGGGTTATCCTATGTGGACAGCCAAAGAACCCTTTTTTCTAAGAGTGTAGCGATGTAGTGATTTCCTTCCCATTGTGTCGTAAGGAGTAAAGGCTATCACAATTTCCTCTCATGTAGATCTACAGAGAAAGGTATCTTGTGGCCTGTGTGGTTCAGTTAAAGCCTCTGACCCAGCTACACATATTTTTTACATTTACATTTTAGTCATTTAGCAGACGCTCTTATCCAGAGCGACTTACAGTTAGTGAATACATATATATATTTTTTATACTGGCCCCCCGTGGGAATCAAACCCACAACCCTGGCGTTGCAAACGCCATGCTCTATCAACTGAGCTACATCCCTTACTGTATGATGCCAGAGTCGACATGGGTTAGAATCTTAATACAAAATATATTCTACACTTCTATTTCAGAGGATACCCAGCATCACCCCACGTGTTATGAAATGGTGGTTTTGGAATGAGAAAAAGGGTCACCCATCATTGTGGTGTACATGGTATTTGTTTATATTTGACAATGTAAGGTACAGAGCAGTGGAGGCTGCTGAGTGGAGGACGGCTCAAAATAATGTCTGGAATGGAGTGAATGGATTGTGTTTGATACCATTCCATTAACTCAATTCCAGTCATTATTTTGAGCCGTCCTCCCCTCAGCAACCTCCACTGGTACCGAGTACTTTATGTGTATGGTGTTAACTTCAGTACAGAAATGTGTAGGCGGCTTAACTTACCCTGTCCCACGGCTTAATTTACCCCATACCCGGGGTAAGTTGTGCCAAGAGACCACTTTTTTGGGACAAGCTATGTTTTCAAAACTGTAATGTTTACATGTATTCTGATTATATCCAGGGATACACAACATCCGGAAATACAGTATGTGTAGATATCTTTGTTAGAAAGAATGCTATATTTCCCTTGACGGAGTGATGCTGAATGTAACATTTTTTTGAATTTACCCCACTCTCCCCTAACTGTCTGTGTCTTTTCCATAAAACCTCCAATACACAGTTCTTCTCCATAAAACCCATGTTACATCAGAGTTCCATTATCAGCTGTTCTAGGTGCTGTGTTCCACCGACTCCAGAGGTCAGGGGTCAGGTATACAGTGTTCTGGGTAGAAGTTGTCCTCAGGCTACAGTACTTTCCCTCCTCATATCTATATCAGTGTCCGGTCTTCACGAAAAGGAGGGATGTAGGGAAGGTTGTGGGAAGGTTTCTCCAGCTCTGTTGCCTCTCAACCTAAAATAATTTGGCATGGTAGTACATTCACAGGCTCCAACACATATCACCTATATTGGTTAGTGGCATACGTAGAAGTATTGGTTAGTGGCAAACGTAGACTTTGTCCTTTCCTCAGCCTACTAACCCTCCCTCCCTGCATGGCTAAGTTACAATTTGACATAAGTTGAAGTTAGGATTCACCCCTTAGTGTCTTAGTGGAACAGAGTCAGGGGGATATTTCTGCAGTGATGCATACTGGTGTGTCTTGTCCTTTAGCAGTCCCTGAATATTTAGCTCTCTGACCGGTCTTCATGGAGCTCAAAGTTCTGGACTTCTCTCTGACTGGTCTTCAGGGAGCTCAAAGTTATGGACTTCTCTCTGACTGGTCTTCAGGGAGCTCAACGTTCTGGACTTCTCTCTGACTGGTCTTCAGGGAGCTCAAAGTTCTGGACTTCTCGCTGACCGGTCTTCAGGGAACTCAAAGTTCTGGACTTCTCTCTGACCGGTCTTCAGGGAACTCAAAGTTCTGGACTTCTCTCTGACCTTCGTGGCTCAGCTGTTAGCCTACGTTTTAAGGAATTAGCCTACTGTACTATACTGAATTTTAATCTTCTTATCACTGCCAAAGGAATAGTCTCTCTGCTTCAGAACTTAACTCCTTAGATTGACACCCCAGCTAACACATTTTGTTTCCCACAACATTTATTTGGTATTTTATTAGGATCCCCATTAGCTGTTGCAAAAGCAGCAGCTACTCTTCCTGGGGTCCACACAAAACATGAAACATGACATGATACAGAACATTAAGAGAACAGCTCAAGGACAGAACTACATTTTTTTTAAAGGCACACATTGCCTACATATCAATATATACACACAAACTATCTAGGTCAAATAGGGGAGAGGCGTTGTGCCATGAGGTGTTGCTTTATCTGTTTCCTGAAACCAGGTTTGCTGTTTATTTGAGCAATATGAGATGGAACGGAGTTCCATGCAATAATGGCTCTATATAATACTGTATGCTTTCTTGAATTTGTTCTGGATTTGGGGACTGTGAAAAGACCCTAGTGGCATGTCTGGTGGGGTAGGTGTGTCAGAGCTGTGTGTAAGTTGACTATGCAAACAATTTGGAATTTTCAACACATTAATGTTTCTTATAAAAAGAAGTGTTGCAGTCAGTCTCTCCTCAACTCTTAGCCAAGAGAGACTGACTGTCACGCCCTGACTCTAGGACTCGTATTTGTTGTTTCAGGGTGTGTATTTTCTGTGTCGTGTTGTGCTATGTTTATTGTCTATGGTTAGATCTAGTATGTATAGATCTATGTTGGCCAGGGTGGTTCCCAATCAGAGGCAGCTGTAGCTCGTTGTCTCTGATTGGGGACCATACTTAGGTAGCCTGTTGGCACTAGTGGGTTGTGGGATCTTGTTCCGTATAGGTTTGTTGTGTGTACCTTAAGACTTCACGTATCGTTTGTTTGTTGTTTTGTCGTGTTTGCACAGTTGTAATAAACATGTACGCTTATCACGCTGCGCCTTGGTTCGACCAGTCTTTAAACGATCGTGACACTGGCATGCATAGTATTTATATTAGCCCTCTGATTACAATGAAGAGCAAGACGTGCCGCTCTGTTTTGGGCCAGCTGCAGCTTAACTAGGTATTTCCTTACAGCACTGGACCACACGACTGGACAATAATCAAGATTAGACAAAACTAGAGCTAGAGAACTTGCTTTTTGGAGTGTGGTGTCAAAAAAGCAGAGCATCTCTTTATTACGGACAGACCTCTCCCCAACTTTACAACCATTGAATCTATATGTTTTGACAAACTAAGGTAACGCCAAGTAATTTAGTCTCGTCAACTTGTTCAACAGCCACACCATTCATTACCAGATTCAGCTGAGGTCTAGAACTTAGGGAATGATTTGTACCAAATACAATGCTCTTAGTTTTAGAGATGTTCAGGACCAGTTTATTAGTGGCCACCCATTCCAAAACAGACTGCAACTCTTTGTTAAGGGTTTCGGTGACTTCATTAGCTGTGGTTGCTGATGCGTATATGGTTGAATCATCAGCATACATGGACACACATGCTTTATGGGAAAGTTGTTTTTCAAATAACCAAAGGAGAACCTTTAGGGAATGTTATGGGAACGTTCAGTGTTAGCTGGGACAGTCCTTCAAAACAAATGAGCCTGCCTGGTAGTGTCCCTGTCTGTTTGTGCTTTAGTCAACAGCTCCTCTCAGTGTCCGTGTGTTGTCATTCCCTGATTGATGACGTTTAATGTGGGACTTATTTAGTACGTTGTCATGCCAAAGATGCACTGTATGGCTTGACGATGATAAAAGAGTTGGCTGCATCATGTACAGTAGGAGGCCACGCTAAAACCAAATGTTGAAACAGTTTCCTATGGGGTTTGTAATCGGCTATCTTATTACAATATTATTGTGTTTGTGCTTCCATAGCATGTATCTACTACCTACCAACACATCTTTCTTTATAGAGTGATTTGTCGTGTTTGCACAGTTGTAATAAACCTCTCCCTCAACGTGACCAAGACAAAGGAGATGATTGTGGACTACAGGAAAAAAAAAGAGGACTGAGCACGCCCCCATTCTCATCGACGGGGCTGTAGTGGAACAGGTTGAGAGCTTCAAGTTCCTTGGTGTCCACATCACTAACAAACTATCATGGTCCAAACACACCAAGACAGTCGTGAAGAGGGCACGACAAAGCCTATTCCCCCTCAGGAGACTGAAAAGATTTGGCATGGGTCCTCAGATCCTCAAAAAATTATACAGCTGCACCATCGAGAGCATCCTGACTGGTTGCATCACCGCCTGGTATGGCAACTGCTTGGCCTCCGACCGCAAGGCACTACAGAGGGTAGTGCGTACGGCCCAGTACATCACTGGGGCCAAGCTTCCTGCCATCCAGGACCTCTATACCAGGCGGTGTCAGAGGAAGGCCCTCAAAATTGTCAAAGACTCCAGCCACCCTAGTCATAGACTGTTCTCTCTGCTACCGCACGGCAAGCGGTACCGGAGTGCCAAGTCTAGGTCCAAAAGACTTCTCAACAGCTTCTACCCCCAAGCCATAAGACTCCTGAACAGCTAATCATGGCTACCCGGACTATTTGCACTGCCCCCCCACCCCATCCTTTTTACGCTGCTGCTACTCTGTTAATTATTTATGCATAGTCACTTTAACTCTACCCACATGTACATATTACCTCAACTACCTCAACTAGCCGGTGCCCCCGCACATTGACTCTGCAACGGTACCCGCCTGTATATATAGCCTCCCTACTGTTATTTTATTTTACTTCTGCTCTTTTTTTTCTCAACACTTTTTTTGTTGTTTTATTTTTACTTTTTTTGTTAAAAATAAATGCACTGTTGGTTAAGGGCTGTAAGTAAGCATTTCACTGTAATGTCTGCACCTGTTGTATTCGGCGCATGTGACCAATAAAATTTGATTTGATTTGATATATGGCACCACTTGAGCATGTTTTATGTAAATGGTTTCAGTAAAACATTAAGAATTACCGTCTCCCGATCCGATTTGTGAACCATCAGGTAAGGTACATGTAGATCACAGGAGGTTGGTGGCACCTTAATTGGGGAGGATGGGCTCGTGGTAATGGCTGGAGCAGAATAAGTGGAATGGTATCAAATACATCAATCACATGGTTTCCATTCCATTTCCAGCCATTATTATGAGCTGTTCTCCCCTCAGCAGCCACCTGTGATGTAGATTCAGACTGATACACTCTGACCTGCTGCAGCTCATCAAATTAGTAGGGAAAGACCTAGGCTGTGTGTGTGTGTGTGTGTGTGTGTGTGTGTGTGTGTGTGTGTGTGTGTGTGTGTGTGTGTGTGTGTGTGTGTGTGTGTGTGTGTGTGTGTGTGTGCGTGTGAGAAAGAGAGGTTGTGATTGCCTCTGCAGATGTCATCTCTCTGAAGGGCCCACTATCACACTGTTGACATGAAGGAGGGAGGGAGTGAAGGGAATGGAGGGAGGGAATGATACAAGGGAAAGAGGGAGTGAAGAGGAGAGGTAGTGGATACAATGAATGGAGAAAGAGGCAGAGAGAGAGATGAAACCTAATAGCCTGGTGATTATTACCGCTAGTCCCCTCTGTCTCCCAGACCTCTGAGCATCACTAGAGTGCCACTGTGCTGTTCAATTCCATGAGGAGTTTACCACTGTCATCATTACACACACACACACACGCACACACATACACACACACTGCCATTACTCTCCCACTGTCCCTGATATAATTTCTTTCTCACACACTATTCAATCTAATGAGTGTTACTGCATGATAAATGTGTGTGTCATTGTCGGTGAGAGCACATCAACAACAAGAAGAGTGATGATACTAATCACCCCCTATCTCTCTGTCTTCCCCCTGTCTCCCTCTTTTTCTCTCCCTCTCTCCCTTCTCTCCCTCCCTGTCTCCCTCTCTCTCTCCTCTCTCCCTCTACCTCCATCCCCTCTCCCTCCCTCCATCCCCTCTCCCTCCCTCCATCCCCTCTCCCTCTCTTTCTTTCCCATCCGCTCACCCTCTCCCTCTCTCCCCACCTCTCTCTCACTCTCTCCCTCTCTCCCCACCTCTCTCTCTCTCTCCCTCCCCCTACATCCCCTCTCCCTCTCTCTCCCCACCTCTGTCTCTCTCCCTCCCCTCCATCTCTATCTCCTTTGTAGCTGCTGAGTGAGAAGATAAGTGGTACTGAAGGGACAAAGCTGGATGAAGACTTCATGGAGATGGAGAGGGTAAGGATGACAGAGAAGGTGCTATTAGCAACCCAAAACGTTCCTGTAGTATACACAATGGCTGGCTCTGGGGTGTATTGTCCCCTAGGTACAGATCTAGGATCAGCTTCCCCTCCACCAATCCTAAACTTAACCATTAGTAGGGAAAATGCTAAACTGAACTAAGATCAGTGTCTAAGAGAAACTTCACTCTACTGCCAATGACTACGTCCCAAATATTTCATAAGTAATGCACTACATAGGAAATAGGGTGCCATTTGTGACGGAGACAATAACTACCAGACCTCAGGATGGATGCATTACTGCTCTTTTACTGTCCACAATGGTGTTCTTCTGTTGTCCCGGGAACTCACAGAGGTGCAGGCTTTTGTTCAACGTCTAGTGTTGATTTACATTTGGTTGAGTTGTCAACTGACGTGAATTCAACGTAATTTAAAAAAATATATTTTCACCATGTCATTGGATTTGGGTTAAAAGTTGGGTGAAGAAAAGGCGAAATGCCCTTACGTTGATTACTTTTTGCAAATCCAATCAGTTTTCCACGTTGATTTAATGCCATCACATAGAATTTTTTTGGTTGAAATGACGTGGAAACAACTTGATTCAACCAGTTGATTCTACCGTTGATTCAACACACCTGATTCAACCTATCATTGAGCGTTTAAGTGGTTGAGTCAGGTTCCTGCAGGGTGTGCAGGTTTTTGTTCCAGCTCAATACTAAAAAACCTGATTCAACTACTCAACTCACCATCAAGTGTTTGAGTTGTTGGATCGGATGTGTTAGTACTGGGCTGGAACATAGACCTGCACTGGGCTGGAACATAGACCTGCACTGGGCTGGAAGGGTCTCCAGGACCAAGGTGGAAAAACAGTTGTCTTCTAGTAACCAATAAATGCTGAAATAAACACCATCTCTATTGAGCTAACATGATCATTTTGTTTCTAGAAAATCGAGGTCACCAACAAATCAGTGTTGGACCTCTTGTCAAAAACAACAGAATACCTACAACCTAACCCAGGTGAGACAACACTTTACAGAATATTGACTAATGTTCAAAGTTGGTGAAGTTGCTATCTTTGAAGTTGGTGAAATAATGCAGAAGTCATAGAACTTTGCTTTGTAGGTGAATGGTTAGGATGGATGGATGGTTGGATGGATGGTTGGATGGGTGATGGATGGATGAATGAAAGTGCAATGCAGGGTGGTAGCAGTGCGATGCAGGGTGGTATGCTGCTGGTGACAAAAAATACAATTAAAATAATAATATTGCCCTTAAAAGTGATCACTCCATGTGTTTTGCTGTAGCGTCCAGAGCCAAGTTGGGGATGTTAAACACAGTGTCGAAGATGAGAGGACAGGTGAAGACCACAGGATACCCACAGACTGAGGGCCTACTGGGGGACTGTATGATGCGCTATGGCCATGATCTGGGAGACGAGTCCTCCTTCGGTATGAATCACTCACACACACACACGTTCAGCACACATACGTGCACACACACACACACACACACATTCTGTCACACACGCTGTGCTATGTGAGGGCTGTGAAGAGCACGAGAGGAAGCCTTTGAAAAGCTTTCATCCTGACCTGACTGTGCACACATCCACCCACGCTTGCACACACACACACACACACACACACACACACACCCTGTGTGCTGCCAGCTGGTATGTGCAGTGTTTCTGCCTGTGAAAACCTGTGGCTTTGTTGAGCTGCTTCCCCTCTCAACTCTGACACCTGGTGGGTACAAAACGTATTCACTCTGAACATGGGTTTTGATAATATCATTAGTAAATGCCCAGTTTCCCAGACACAAATTAAGCGTAGTTCTAGACTAAAGCTCATGTTCCCATCTTAGTGAAAGATTAAGGCCAGGCCTCAATCAAAGGTGCGCTATAGAGCAGTACATTTGACTGCAGACAATGCACCTTTTAAAAGCAATTCCCCCATTGTTCGCGGAGATCACATTCATGATAAATGCTGCGAATGTTGGTTCAAGCATGAATAACCTTAAACAGTGTGCTGCTCTATGATTGAATCCTGGCCTAGGCTTAATCTGTGTCTAGAAAACCAGCCCCTAATGTTCATGTTATAAACTTGAATCAGGCATTACATTATCCAGTTATCAACCAGCTTACTGTGTGATCAAGAAACCAATCATTATTTCTCAGTGATCTCGATTTTAACTTTGCAATTCCATTGTTGCATGAATTATTTACTTTACTTTACTTTTACTTTACTTTAGTCATTTAGCAGACGCTCTTATCCAGAGCGACTTACAGTTAGTGAATACATACAGTGGGGAAAGTATTTAGTCAGCCACCAACTGTGCAAGTTCTCCCACTTAAAAAGATGAGAGAGGCCTGTAATTTTCATCATAAGTACACGTCAACTATGACAGACAAATTGTGGAAAAAAAATCCAGAAAATCACATTGTAGGATTTTTAATGAATTGATTTGCAAATTATGGTGGAAAATAAGTATTTGGTCACCTACAAACAAGCAAGATTTCTGGCTCTCACAGACCTGTAACTTATTCATTAAGAGGCTCCTCTGTCCTCCACTCGTTACCTGTATTAATGGAACCTGTTTGAACTTGTTATCAGTATAAAAGACACCTGTCCACAACCTCAAACAGTCACACTCCAAACTCCACTATGGCCAAGACCAAAGAGCTGTCAAAGGACACCAGAAACACAATTGTAGACCTGCACCAGGCTGGGAAGACTGAATCTGCAATAGGTAAGCAGCTTGGTTTGAAGAAATCAACTGTGGGAGCAATTATTAGGAAATGGAAGACATACAAGACCACTGATAATCTCCCTCGATCTGGGGCTCCACGCAAGATCTCACCCCGTGGGGTCAAAATGATCACAAGAACGGTGAGCAAAAATCCCAGAACCACACGGGGGGACCTAGTGAATGACCTGCAGAGAGCTGGGACCAAAGTAACAAAGCCTACCATCAGTAACACACTACGCCGCCAGGGACTCAAATCCTGCAGTGGCAGACGTGTCCCCCTGCTTAAGCCAGTACATTTCCAGGCCCGTCTGAAGTTTGCTAGAGTGCATTTGGATGATCCAGAAGAGGATTGGGAGAATGTCATATGGTCAGATGAAACCAAAATAGAACTTTTTGGTAAAAACTCAACTTGTCGTGTTTGGAGGACAAAGTTGCATCCAAAGAACACCATACCTACTGTGAAGCATGGGGGTGGAAACATCATGCTTTGGGGCTGTTTTTCTGCAAAGGGACCAGGACGACTGATCCGTGTAAAGGAAAGAATGAATGGGGCCATGTATCGTGAGATTTTGAGTGAAAACCTCCTTCCATCAGCAAGGGCATTGAAGATGAAACGTGGCTGGGTCTTTCAGCATGACAATGATCCCAAACACACCACCCGGAATACGAAGGAGTGGCTTTGTAAGAAGCATTTCAAGGTCCTGGAGTGGCCTAGCCAGTCTCCAGATCTCAACCCCATAGAAAATCTTTGGAGGGAGTTGAAAGTCCGTGTTGCCCAGCGACAGCCCCAAAACATCACTGCTCTAGAGGAGATCTGCATGGAGGAATGGGCCAAAATACCAGCAACAGTGTGTGAAAACCTTGTGAAGACTTACAGAAAACGTTTGACCTGTGTCATTGCCAACAAAGGGTATATAACAAAGTATTGAGAAACTTTTGTTATTGACCAAATACTTATTTTCCACCATAATTGCAAATAAATGCATTAAAAATCCTACAATGTGATTTTCTGGATTTTCTTTTCTCATTTTGTCTGTCATAGTTGACGTGTACCTATGATGAAAATTACAGGCCTCTCTCATCTTTTTAAGTGGGAGAACTTGCACAATTGGTGACTGACTAAATACTTTTTTTCCCCACTGTATATATATATATATTTTTTATACTGGCCCCCCATGGGAATCGAACCCACAACCCTGGCGTTGCAAACGCCATGCTCTATCAACTGAGCTACATCCCTGCCAGCCATTCCCTCCCCTACCCTGGATGACGCTGGGCCAATTGTGCACCGCCCATGAGTCTCCCGGTCGCGGCCGGCTGCGACAGAGCCTGGATTCGAACCAGGATCTCTAGTGGCACAGTTAGCACTGCGATGCAGTGCCTTAGACCACTGCGCCACTCAGGAGGATATCAGATTTACACTGATATTAAATAATATATAGAGTGCCTTCGGAAAGTATTCAGACCCCTTGACATTTTCCACATTTTGTTAGGTTACAGCCTTATTCTAAAATTGTCCTCATCAATCTACACAATATACCCCATAATGACAAAGCAAAAACAGGTTTTTTGACATTTTTGCAAATATATAAAACTAAAATAACTGAAATATGACATTTACATAAGTATTCAGACCCTTTACTCAGTACTTTGTTGAAGAACCTTTGGCAGCGATTACAGCTTCGAGTCATCTTGGGTATGATGCTACAAGCTAGGCACACCTGTATTTGGGGAGTTTCTCCCATTCTTCTCTGCAGATCGTCTCAAGCTCTGTCAGGTTGGATGGGGAGCGTTGGTGCACAGCTATTTTCAGGTCTCTCCAGAGATGTTTAATCAGGTTCAAGTCCGGGCTCTGGCTGGACCACTCAAGGACGTTCAGAGACTTGTCCCGAAGCCACTCCTGCGTTGTCTTGGCTGTGTGCTTAGGGTCGTTGTCCTGTTGGAAGGTGATCCTTCGCCACCAGTCTGAGGTCCTGAGTGCTCTGGAGCAGGTTTTCATCAAGGATCTCTGTACTTTGCTCCGTTCATCTTTGCCTCGATCCTGACTAGTCTCCGAGTCCCTGCCGCTGAAAAACATCCCCACTCATGATGCTGCCACCACCATGCTTCACCGTAGGGATGGTGCCAGGTTTCCTCCAGACGTGATGCTTGGCATTCAGGCCAATCTTGGTTTCATCAGACCAGAGAATCTTATTTCTCATGGTCTGAGAGTCTTTAGGTGCCTTTTGGCAAACTCCAAGCGGGCTGTCATGTGCCTTTTTACTGAGGAGTGGCTTCTGTCTGGCCACTCTACCATAAAGGCCTTATTGGTGGAGTGCTGCAGAGATGGTTGTCCTTCTGGAAGGTTCTCCCATCTCCGAAGAGGAACTCTAGAGCTCTGTCAGAGTGACCATCGGGTTCTTGTCACCTCCCTGACCAAGGCCCTTCTCCCCTGATTGCTCAGTTTGGCTGGCCGGCCAACTCTAGGAAGAGTCTTGGTGGTTCCAAACTTCTTCCATTTAATGATGAAGACCATTGTGTTCTTGGGGACCTTCAATGCTGCAAAAAAAATGTTGTACCCTTCCCCAGATATGTGCCTCGACACGATCCTGTTTCGGAGCTCTACGGAATGCTTTTCCAACAGTCTTGAAGGAGTTCCCACATATGCTGAGCACTTGTTGGCTGCTTTTCCTTCACTCTGCGTCCGACTCATCCCAAACCATCTCAATTGGGTTGGGTTAGGGGGATTGTGGAGGCCAGGTCATCTGATGCAGCACTCCATCACTCTCCTTCTTGGTAAAATAGCCCTTACACAGCCTGGAGGTGTGTTGGGTCATTGTCCTGTTGCAAAACAAATTATAGTCCCACTAAGGCCAAACCAGATGGGATGGCATATCGCTGCAGAATGCTGTGGTTGCCATGCTGGTTAAGTGCGCCTTGAATTCTAAATAAATCACAGACAGTGTCACCATCAAAGCACCACCACACCATAACACCTCCTCCTCCATGCTTTACGGTGGGAACTACACATGCAGAGATCATCCGTTCACCCACACTGCGTCTCACAAAGACTCGGCGGTTGGAACCAAAAATCTCCAATTTGGACTCCAGACCAAAGGACAAATTTCCACTGGTCTAATGTCCATTCCTCATGTTTCTTGGCCCAAGCAGGTCTTTTCTTCTTATTGGTGTCCTTTACTAGTGGTTTCTTTGCAGCAATTCGACCATGAAGGCCTGATTCACACAGTCCCCTCTGAAGAGTTGATGTTGAGATATGTCTGTGACTTGAACTCTGTGAATCATTTCTTTTGGGCTGCAATTTCTGAGGCGGGTAACTCTAATGAACTTATCCTCTGCAGCAGAGGTAACTCTGGGTCTTCCATTCCTGTGGTGGTCCTCATGAGATCCAGTTTCATCATTGCGCTTGATGATTTTTGCGACTGCACTTGAAGAAACGTTCAAAGTTGACTGACCTTCATGTCTTAAAATAATGATGGACTGTCGTTTCTCTTTGCTTATTTGAGCTGTTCTTGCCATAATATGGACTTTACAAAATAGGGCTATCTTCTGTATACCCCCCCCCTACCTTGTCACAACACAACTGATTGGCTCAAACGCATTAAGAAGGAAAGTAATTCCACAAATTAACTTTTAAGAAGGCACACCTGTTAATTGAAATGCATTCCAGGTGACTACCTCATGAAGCTGAATGAGAGAATGCCAAGAGTGTGCAAAGCTGTCATCAAGGCAAATGGTGGCAGTCCCCTGTAGCTCAGTTGGTAGAGCATGGCGCTTGCTTGCAACGCTGGGGTTGTGTGTTCATTTCCCACGGGGGGCCAGTATGAAAAATATATGCACTCACTAACTGTAAGTCGCTCTGGATAAGAGCGTCTGCTAAATGACTAAAATGTAAATGTATTTGAAGAATCTCAAATATATTTAGATTTTTTAAACACTTTTTTGGTTACTACATGATTCCATATGTGTTATATAATAGTTTTGATGTCTTCACTATTATTCTACAATGTAGAAAATAGTAAAAATAAAGAAAAACCCTTGAATGTAGGTGCTGGACAGCGACGGGTGTGTCTCTCTCTGGCGGGAGGCCATACAAACGCTTCACACCACGTGGCTGTTGCCACTCTAATCTGGTGGTCCCTGCGCGCACGACCCACATGGCGTTCCAGGTCTCTGGCAGCCTCTGGAACTGCCGTTCTGCGGCCAACAAGGCAGAGTTCATCTCAGCCTATGCTACCCTCCAGTCCCTCGACTTCTTGGCACTGAACTCCTACTGCTACTCCTACTGCTCTTTCCTCGTCTAACCATGTGTTCTCGCATACCCCGAGAGCATCTGGTCAGTGCAGCGGTGGCACAGGAATCCTCATCTCTCCAAAGTGGACATTCTCTCTTTTTCCCCTGACCCATCTGTCTATCTCCTCATTTGAATTCCATGCTGTCACAGTCACTAGCCCATTCAAGCTTAACATCCTTGTCATTTATCGCCCTCCAGGTTCCCTTGGAGAGTTCATCAATGAGCTTGACGCCTTGATAAGTTCCTTTCCTGAGGATAGCTCACCCCTCACAGTTCTGGGTGACTTTAACCTCCCTACGTCTGCCTTTGACTCATTTCTCTCTGCCTCCTTCTTTCCACTCCTTTCCTCTTTTGACCTCACCCTCTCACCGTCCCCCCCTACTCACAAGGCAGGCAATACGCTTGACCTAATCTTTACTAGATGCTGTTCTTCTAATAATCTCACTGCAACTCCCCTCCAAGTCTCCGACCACTACCACTACTCTCGCTCTCCTCCAACACTACTCACTCTGCCCCTACTCAGATGGTAATGTGCCGTCGCAACCTTCGCTATCTCTCTCCCGCTACTCTCTCCTCTTCCGTCCTATCATCTCTTCCCTCTGCTAAATCCTTCTCCCTCCGATCTCCTGATTCTGCCTCCTCAACCCTCCTCTACTCCCTTTCTGCATCTTTTGACTCTCTATGTCCCCTATCCTCCCAGCCGGCTCGGTCCTCCCCTCCTGCTCCGTGGCTTGACGACTCATTGCGAGCTCACAGAAGAGGGCTCCGGGCAGCCGAGCGGAAATGGAGGAAAACTAGACGCCCTGCGGACCTGTCATCTTTTCACTCCCTCCTCTCTACATTCTCTTCCTCTGTTTCCGCTACTAAAGCCACTTTCTACCACTCTAAATTTCAAGCATCTGCCTCTAACCCTAGGAAGCTCTTTGCCACCTTCTCCTCCCTGCTGAATCCTCCTCCCCCTTCCCCTCCCTCCTCCCTCTCTGTGGATGACTTCGTCAACCATTTTGAAAAGAAGGTTGACGACATCCGATCCTCATTTATTAAGTCAAATGACACCGCTGGTCCTGCTCACACTGCCCTACCCTATGCTTTGACTTCTTTCTCCCCTCTCTCTCCAGATGAAATCTTGCGACTTGTGACAGCCGGCCGCCCAACAACCTGCCCGCTTGACCCTATCCCCTCCTCTCTTCTCCAGACCATTTCCGGAGACCTTCTCCCTTACCTCACCTCACTCATCAACTCATCCTTGACCGCTGGCCATGTCCCTTCCATCTTCAAGAGAGCGAAAGTTGCACCCCTCCTCAAAAACCGTACACTCGATCCCTCCGATGTCAACAACTACAGACCAGTATCCCTTCTTTCTTTTCTCTCCAAAACTCTTGAGCGTGCCGTCTCTAGCCAACTCTCCTGCTATCTCTCTCAGAATGACCTTCTTGATCCAAACCAGACAGGTTTCAAGACTGGTCATTCAACTGAGACTGCTCTTCTCTGTGTCACGGAGGCTCTCCGCACTGCTAAAACTAACTCTCTCTGCTAAAACATCTCCGGCGCTGCTCACTCTTGGATTGCGTCCTACCTGACAGGTCGCTCCTACCAGGTGGCGTGGCGAGAATCTGTCTCCGCACCACGTGCTCTCACCACTGGTGTCCCCAGGGCTCAGTTCTAGGCCCTCTCCTATTCTCTCTATACACCAAGTCACTTGGCTCTGTCATATCCTCACATGGTCTCTCCTATCATTGCTACGCAGACAACACACAATTAATGTTCTCCTTTCCCCCTTCTGATAACCAGGTGGCGAATCGCATCTCTGCATGTCTGGCAGACATATCAGTGTGGATGTCGGATCACCACCTCAAGCCCGCTCCATGATCTCGCCTTCACGGTTGACAACTCCATTGTGTCCTCCTCCCAGAGTGCAAAGAGCCTTGGCGTGACCCTGGACAACACCCTGTCGTTCTCTGCTAACATCAAAGCGGTGACCCGATCCTGCAGGTTCATGCTCTACAACATTTGCATAGTACGACCCTACCTTACACAGAAAGCGGCACAGGTCCTAATCCAGGCACTTGTCATCTCCCGTCTGTATTACTGCAACTCGCTGTTGGCTGGGCTCCCTGCCTGTGCCATTAAACCCCTACAACTTATCCAGAACGCCGCAGCCCGTCTGGTGTTCGACCTTCCCAAGTTCTCTCATGTCACCCCCTCCTCCGCACACTCCACTGGCATCCAGTTGAGGCTCGCATCTACTACAACACCATGGTGCTTGCCTACGGAACTGTGAGGGGAACGGCACCTCCTTACCTTCAGGCTCTGATCAGACCCTACACCCAAAGGAGGGCACTACGTTCATCCACCTCTGGCCTGCTAGCTCCCCTACCTCTACAGAAGCACAGTTCCCGCTCAGCCCAGTCAAAGCTATTTGCTGCTCTGGCACCCCAATGGTGGAACAAGCTCCCCCACGACGCCAGGACAGCGGAGTCACTGACCACCTTCCGGAGACACTTGAAACCCTACCTAAGGAATACCTGGAATAGTATAAAGCGATCCTACTTGGGTGAGAACCTCCTTCCCTCAGCTAGAGCATTGAAAATGGGTCGTGGATGGGTATTCCAGAATGACAATGACCCAAAACACACGGCCAAGGCAACAAAGAGTGGCTCAAGAAGAAGGACATTAAGGTCCTGGAGTGGCCTAGCCAGTCTCCAGACCTTAATCCCATTGAAAATCTGTGGAGGGAGCTGAAGGTTTGAGTTGCCAAACGTCAGCCTCAAAACCTTAATGACTTGGAGAAGATCTGCAAAGAGGAGTGGGACAAAAAAATCCCTCCTGACATGTGTGCAAACCTGGTGGCCAACTACAAGAAACGTCTGACCTCTGTGATTGCCAACAAGGGTTTTGCCACCAAGTACTAAGTCATGTTTTGCAGAGGGGTCAAATACTTATTTCCCTCATTAAAATGCAAATCAATTTATAACATTTTTGACATGCGTTTTTCTGGATTTTTTTGTTGTTATTCTGTCTCTCTGTCACGCCCTGACTCAGGGGACTCTTATATGTTGAGTCAGGGTGTGTATATTCTATGTTGTGTATATTCTATGTGTGTTATCTAGTATGTGTATATCTATGTTGGCCGGTGTGGTTCCCAATCAGAGGCAGCTGTCACTCGTTGTCTCTGATTGGGGTTCATACTTAGGCAGCCTATTGGCACTAGGTAGTTGTGGGATCTTGTTCCGTGTAAGGTTTGTTGTGTGTCTACCTTAGGACTTCACGTTTCGTTTCGTTTGTTGTTTTGTCGGTTGTTTATTCGTTGTCAATAAACATGTATGCATATCACGCTGCGCCTTGGTCTGACCCGTCCTTCAACGGCCGTGACAGAAGATCCCACCAATCAAGGACCAAGCAGCGTGCCCAGAAGGAGCAAACGCCTGGGACTCAACAGGAGGTAACCACAGTAGATGTCCTCCTCGGTTGGGGGAGAATTACAGAGGAGGAGGCCGTCCGTTATCGGGAGGCGATGAAGCAGAGTGTAGCCGATAAAGGATCCTGGGTGAAGGAGGAAGCCTGGGTAGGAGAGGAGAAATGGCGCCAACAGTGCCGACAACGGAGACCCGAGAGGCAACCCCAAGAATTGTTTTGGGGGGGCACACGGGGTGGACAACGAGGCAGCAGGAGGCCGTGAAAGGGTGGATCTGCAGGTTAAGAGAGGAGGCCACCACGTTACGGGGGCTGTTAGCTCAGAGGGAGCAGGACTTATCTGGTCAGAGGGAGGCACTACAGGAGGCTCAAAGGGAGAAGGAAATAGTGGAGGCACGGAGAGAGGAGCTGGTTAGGCAGCAGAAGGAGCGGGGGTTAATAAAGGAACCCAGTCCTGCTCCTCGAACCAAGCCAGTGGTGCGTGTCGCCAGTCCGGTCCGGCCTGTTCCTGCTCCTCGCACCAAGCCATTGGTGCGTGTTCCCAGTCCGGCCCGGCCCGTTCCTGCTCCTCGCACCAAGCCAGTGGTGCGTGTTCCCAGTCCGGCCCGGCCCGTTCCTGCTCCTCGCACCAAGCCAGTGGTGCGCGTCGCCAGTCCGGCCCGGCCCGTTCCTGCTCCTCGCACCAAGCCAGTGGTGCGTGTCGCCAGTCCGGCCCGGCCTGTGCCTGCTCCTCGCACCAAGCCAGTGGTGCGTGTTCCTAGTCCGGTCCGGCCCGTGCCTGCTCCTCGCACCAGACCAGTGGTGCATGTTTCCAGTCCGGCACGGCCCGTGCCCGTTCCACCGGTGCCTGGTCCGGCACCGGTCAGCGGCTCCACTCCGGAGCCAGAGCAGTCCGCTCCACCGGTGCCTGATCCAGCTCCGGTCAGCTGCTCCACTCCGGAGCCAGAGCAGTTCGCTCCACCGGTGCCCAGTCCAGCTCCGGTCAGCGGCTCCAGTCCGGAGCCTGAGCAGCCCGCTCCACCGTCGTCTGGTCCAGCTCGGGTCAGCGGCTCCAGTCCAGACCCAGACGTCAGCCCCTCTCCAGGTTCGGGGTCTCCCACACCAGGGTCCAGACAGGGCCTGGAGTATCGTGGGAGGAAGGAGAGGGAAAACAGCGCGCCGAGGTCCAGACCAGACCAGGGGCGCAACATGGAGACGGAGAATAAGAGGTCGTCACGCCCGGAGCCGAATCCGCCTCCGAGGCGGAATGCCCACCCGGCCCCTACCCTGTTAGGTGAAGGTTGTGCGGTCGGAGTCCGCACCTTTGGGGGGGGGTACTGTCACGCCCTGACTCAGGGGACTCTTATATGTTGAGTCAGGGTGTGTATATTCTATGTTGTGTATATTCTATGTGTGTTATCTAGTATGTGTATATCTATGTTGGCCGGTGTGGTTCCCAATCAGAGGCAGCTGTCGCTCGTTGTCTCTGATTGGGGATCATACTTAGGCAGCCTATTGGCACTAGGTAGTTGTGGGATCTTGTTCCGTGTAAGGTTTGTTGTGTGTCTACCTTAGGACTTCACGTTTCGTTTCGTTTGTTGTTTTGTCGGTTGTTTATTCGTTGTCAATAAACATGTATGCATATCACGCTGCGCCTTGGTCTGACCTGTCCTTGAACGAACGTGACAATCTCACTGTTCAAATAAACCTACCATTAAAATTATAGACTGATCATGTCTTTGTCAGTGGGCAAACGTACAAAATCAGCAGGGGATCAAATACTTTTTTCCCTCACTGTAAGTCGCTTTGGATAAGAGCGTCTGCTAAATGATGTAAATGTAATGAGTAGGTGTGTCCAAACTTTTGACTGGTACTGTATATATATATATATATTTATAACATTTTACAATTGCTAGCAAGCTAATTAATTGATCCTGCATCATGAAATACCTTATTGGTGTAAATAAGTTAATAACTGTCCACATTGTTAGTGACACATGAATTCAGTAGAAGTGGCCCCATGCGTGAATCAAACCCTCAACCCTGGTGTTTCTAGCACTCTCTAACCCACTCATCCATTGGAACCACGTGTTTCTGTGTCATATATTTTACTCATATCTGTTTTTTTGTCTGCAGGCGGTGCATTGGTGGACATCGGTGAGGCCATGAGGCAGATGGCCGACGTGAAGGACTCTCTGGACATCAGCGTCAAACAAAACTTTATCGACCCACTCCAGAACTTACAGGACAAAGACCTCAAGGAAATCACGGTCAGTGGTATATTAGATTTCAGTTGTATTCCATTAGCTTTCAGAACTCAATGGTTGCATCACCAATGGTACCCTATTCCCTTTATAGTGCACTACTTTAGACCAGGGCCCATATGGGATGTGCATAAAAGTTGTATACTTGCAATGTTATTCACAAAGGTGATTTCACAATATGTTTAATTTGTATTAGTCATTTTAAATGTTTCATAACGGTTTTGAGTAAGACCGTCCTCAATTCTTCCTGGGAAGAGCCTCTGTACTCCCCCATAATGCCCCTTTTCAACCATCTCTCCTGATTGTTTTGTGTGCAGCATCACCTGAAGAAGCTGGAGGGGAGGCGGTTAGACTTTGACTATAAGAAGAAGCGTCATGGTAAGGTGCCTGACGAGGAGATCCGCCAGGCGGTGGAGAAGTTTGAGGAGAGCAAAGAGCTGGCCGAGAGGAGCATGTTCAACTTCCTGGAGAACGATGTGAGTGAATAGTAGAGGGATACACTACCTGTGGTAACGGTTCTCTCGCTCTTTCTCTCTGAAAAAGAGTGCCACCATGTGGTGGTCTCCGATAGAGGTGCCGGTTTCGATTATAGGTGCAACTGTCCCAGCGCCCCGGTTAGAGGACGTAAATGACCAGTAGGAGGATTTATTTCCATACACCAAACAGACACACACACAGTAAAGAGGAATAGAATCGGTGAAGGGGGTTTTGTGTTCAGTGACGGACTAACACGCGATTGGGAAGTCCAGGGTGGAGGCTTGTCCTTGTAGGAAGGGTCCAGTGGTGAGTTGTGTTGAGGTGGTGCAGAGTTCTTCTGACCTGTTGTCTCTCTGCACCCCTGTGTCCAACTAAAGAACAGGCAGGAATAAGTCTGTTACCTCACCAGATAGGGCCTGTGATTGGCAGACCAGGTCAGCTGACTGCGTTCCCTGGCAACCTGGTCCCTAACACAGAGGTGTGAAGTGGCCTCTGCTATTGGACAAAGGAGTCAGGTTGAGGCGGGGGATGGTAGCCTCTGCTGCAGCTGAAAAGTCACAGAGTTTGTCTCTATGTCCTAGCCAGAGAGAGGGTTCAGTGAGGGTTTAAGGATTACAATTATAGGGTTTTGTACACACTTTCTGTCTCTCTCTGTCTGTGGCACTCGCTGTAGCTCTGAGGCCTAAACACCCTGGTAGCAGAATCAATCAAGCAATGTGGTGCCAGGACAACAACCTCTCCCTCAACGTCAGTAACACAAAGGAGCTGATCGTGGACTACAGGAAACAGAGGGCCGAGCACACCCCCATTCACATCGATGGGGCTTTAGTGGCGCAGGTCGAGAGCTTCAAGTTCCTCAGTGTCCTTATCACTAAGGAGCTATAATGGTCCAAACACACCACGACAACGCCTCTGGCCCCTCAGGAGGCTGAAAAGATTTGGCATCCTCAAAAAGATCTACAGCTGCACCATTGAGAGCATCTTGACTCGCTGCATCACCACTTCACCACTTGGTATGGCAACAGCTTGGCATCCAACCGCAAGGTACTACAGAGGGTAGTGTGGACGGCCCAGTACATCACTGGGGCCAAGCTCCCTGCAATCCAGGACCTCTATACTAGGCGATGTCAGAGGAAGGCCCAACATTTTTTCAAAGACTCCAACCACCCAAGTCATAGGCGATTCTCTCTGCTACCGCATGGCAAGTGGAACCGATGCACCAAGTCTGGAAACAACAGGACCCTGAACAGCTTCTACCTCCAAGCCATAAGACTGCTAAATAGTTAGTTAAATAGTTAACCAAATAGCATTGACCCTTTTTGCACTCACTTTTTTTGACTCATCACATACGCTGCTGCTACTGTTTACTATCTGTCACTTTATTCCTAGTTATATGTAAATATCTACCTCAATTACCTTGTATCCCTGCACATCGACTCGGTACTTGTATCCCTTGTATACAGCCAAGTTATTACCTCATACCCCTGCACATCAACTCAGTACTGGTACCCCTTGTATATAGCCAAGTTATTACCTCATACCCCTGCACATCAACTCAGTACTGGCACCACTTGTATATAGCCAAGTTATTACCTCATACCCCTGCACATCAACTCAGTACTGGCACCACTTGTATATAGCCAAGTTATTACCTCATACCCCTGCACATCAACTCAGTACTGGCACCACTTGTATATAGCCAAGTTATTACCTCATACCCCTGCACATCAACTCAGTACTGGCACCACTTGTATATAGCCAAGTTATTACCTCATACCCCTGCACATCAACTCAGTACTGGCACCACTTGTATATAGCCAAGTTATCGTTACTCATTGTGTATCTATTAATACTTTTATTATTACGTGTTTTACCTTTTTATAATTTTTCTAAGTTCTTTCTCTCTGCATTGTTAGGAAGGGCCCGTAAGTAAGCATTTCACTGTTAGTCCACACCTGTTGTTTACCAAGCATGTAACAAATACAATTTGATTTGAATCAATCAATCAGTCAGTCAATCAATCAATCTCTCAAGCAAATGTATTTGTATATCCCGTATTTACAACAACAGTTGTCACAAAGTACAGCACTTTACAGTACAATCGCAATGTCAATCTTACCAAGAAATAGTTTGCTAAATTTTCTTCATCCAAGATAAAAAGAGCTTGATAAGATCGATAATATTCTTGTTCTGTGTTTCGTAGGTGGAGCAGGTGAGTCAGCTGTCAGCGTTGGTTGAAGCGGCGTTAGACTACCACCGCCAGTCCTTGGAGATCCTAGAAGACCTCAACACCCAACTACAGACCAGGCAACTAACTAACTACAGCTATCACACTCCACAGTCCCTAAACAGCCTGTCCCTCATCTCCTTCTCTTCATCTGTACTGATGTGAAAGAACTGGACATGTGAAAGCTACTCCCTAGTGAGCATCCACCATTTTGCTTTCACCTTTTCAGTTTTCAATTCAGTCATTCTGGTTCAAGTTGAAATTCACTGCCTGAATTCAAAAATCGTCCTCAGTTCACATTCTAATTGCACTAAATTGAAAACCAAATTGAAGGAAAGCCAACCAATTGAATGAAAACCAACCAGTTGAAGGAAACAGGACAAGGACAGGAGGAAACCACTTTAGACTATGCAGCCAGTGATGTACACATGTTGCCGGGCCAAAGTGAATAACATCATAATGCCTCTCACAGGATATCCTCAGCCAGAAGTCGACCGAAGAGAGAGATTAAACAAAAGTCCATCATGAGCAGCATTGAGACCATAGACAACACTCAGCACAATGGACTATCATATAGCTCCTCACTCAAGTCCTCAGGTACAGTGTGTGTGTGTGTGTGTGTGTGTGTGTGTGTGTGTGTGTGTGTGTGTGTGTGTGTGTGTGTGTGTGTGTGTGTGTGTGTGTGTACCAATTCTGCTCACATTAGTTTTGATCAACCCCATCCGTTTGTCCATGTTATCCTTTCACCCATTGTTTTTTTTCCCAAATCATGTCATGTTATATTTTTCTATGGTTCTTTCCAGACAACCAGATCAACCACACAGTAAATGGAAATGGCAAAAGTAGGTATACTTGGACTGATCACATCAAACAGGTGTCGCACCCATACACTTAATCATAGTAGTCTCATGAATGGCTTATTCTGACTGTCTAGAGATAATCTGTCAAAACTCTTGTGAAGTCTGGCTCCATCAATGTAACTTTCATAAAAGCTGTTTTTCTGCCCTCTTGTGGTTAGAGAGTATAAACCTCCATGACAATTAAACAAAACATGCTAAGAGTGCTCTGGGTTAAACCATTAGTGGGGAAAATGCCAAACTGACCCAGGATCAGCGTCTAAGGTCAACTTCACACTACACCGCTAAGAGCAGTAGAAATTGTGATTCTCAATAGCACACTGAAAGAATCACATCTGTAATAGGTTTAAAAGATGACGATAAAAGCTTTTATCCACTCAGATTAAAGTTTGTGTCAGTCAGTTTATTATTCATTAATCAGATATTGGTTGCCGTTTCAACCATGACAGGTGTCATCATGCCATGTGTAGGGTAGGGTTGCAAAATTCACGTAAATTTCAACAACAACAAAAATCCAGAAACCCCGGTTTGGAAGATTCCTGGAATCAGGATTGAAAAAGCAGTACATCCGGGGTAGCTTCTTTGGGGATTTCTGTAAAACCTGGGAATTTTAGGAAAGTTACAGGCATTGTGTTTGTTGGTGCTTGTCTCAGCTTCCATCTCCATGTTTCTCCATCCATCTCTCACCCAGCTGATCCCTTCACCACCGTCCCCCTATCCTGGCCAGAGAGTCCCACTTTCAACGGCCACCGTGAGTAACACACACACACACACACACACACACACACTCTCTCCCTCTCATACTGTCACTATCATACCCATCTCTGTTTGTCTTAATGTGTTGGATTTGTTTTGCTACACCAACCCACATCAGATCCTTATCAGAGGAAAATACACTCCTGGGAACATGCTAGTGTCTGACAGTTCTCTGTTATTCTCCCTCTCCTCTTACCCCCATCCCCCCTCTCCCCTTCTCCTCCCTCCTCCCTCCCTCTCCCCTCTCACCCCTTTCCCCTTCCCCTACCCTCCCTCTCCCCCTCTCCTCCCTCCCTTCCTCCCTCACCTCCCTCTCCCCCTCCTCCTCCCTCCCTTCCCCTCCCCTCCCTCACTCCTTCCCCCCTCCCTCACCCCTTCTCCTTCCTCCCTCACCCCTTCTCCTCCCTCCCTCCCTCCCCCCTCTCCTCCCTCCCTCCCAACATCCCTCACCCCTCCCTCCCTCACCCCTTCTCCTCCCTCCCTCCCTCCCACCCTCACCCCCTCTCCTCCCTCCCTTACCCCTTCTCCTCCCTCCCTCACCCCTTCTCCTTCCCCCTCTCCCTCCCTCATCCCTTCTCCTCCCCCCTCTCCCTCCCTCACCCCTTCTCCTCCCCCCTCTCCCTCCCTCACCCCTTCTCCTTCCTCCCTCCAGAGTTGGAGGTGCTGGACCAGCCGTGTGCCAGGGCCCTGTATGACTTTGAGCCGGAGAATGATGGCGAGCTGGGCTTCAAGGAGGGTGACATCATCATCCTCACCAACCAGATAGATGACAACTGGTACGAAGGCATGATAAACGGAGACTCTGGCTTCTTCCCAATCAACTATGTGGAGGTTATCGTACCCCTGCCCCAGTGAGACAGGACCGGACAGGACACCACCCAACCAGGGACCAACCTCCAGAGCACAAACCTCCTCACAGCCCCCCCTAGTCCCTAGTCCCTATGTACCTGTGGAGATTTGAGAGGATTTTGCTGTTTTGATCTGGGAGCTATTTCCATATAGATTGCACCTGTCGAATCTGCTCAGATCACAAGGTTCTAGGGGTCGATTTGGGATTAGGCCACAGTGTTCATTTCATCAGACTCCAATCCCCACCCTCAAGCCTCCAGTCATCAGCCCCCAGTCCCTACCCTTACACCCTCAGCCTTAGAAAGTCAGTACTGAATCTGAAATCGACCCTATACCCTAGACACTTTTGTAGATCTGAAAAGATTGGACAGGTATAAGCAATGAAGTGGACATTCTAACCAGTCTATCAGAAGGCAGGGTGAAGCAAATGTAATATTGTTAATACCAATCCAATAGGAGTGTATAGGGGTTAGAGGGTATAAGGGTTTATTTGGGATTTCAGCACAACTCTCAGCAACAACAACTCTTAGCACAAACCTACGTCTAATTTATTGTCAAATCTACATCTAATCGCTAGTCCCCAGACCACAACCCTCCAATACCCCAGCACCCACACAGCACTTAGCCTCCAGCCTCGCCCCCAGCCCCCCGCCCCCAGCCCCCTAACCACAAACTCGATGAAATCGTCATATGAAATTGATCACAACACAGTTCATCAACGTCCTCCTCAGATGACGACGCCTTGCTTTTCACCACGGTCATTCAATAAGTGTTCCTCTTTTCTCTTTGTCTTTAATATTTATTTTCTACAATGTTCTTTTCATGGTTTGTGAAATGTGAAAATCAGGGTTCCTCCCCCAAACAGTGTTCCATTTGGAGCACCTACAGGTGACGCCATAAGACAAGACAACTAAAAGAATCACCTGAAAATCGCTGTGTATGGGAAACCACTTTTGGGTTGAAATATTTTGTGGTTGTAAACTGAAGAAAAGTCATGCCAGGTTATCAAAGATGATGTTTTCTCATCATCCGCCACCATGAGAAAACAAAATAGAGTCTCCTGGAAAAATCCCCATTGCTACTGTACGTCTCCGTTTGGTTTTCCTGTGTAACTCTTCTTCAAGTGTTGATGTTGAGTTAGGATTGGTCTTTTTGTTCCTTTTCTCTGCTGTTATCTGTAGGGCCAGGAGTTATGCCTGACCATGTTACCTGACCAAGACAAACTCTGTTATAGGTTATTATAGGCTATAACGTGTCCAGAGTTGTTCCTGTTGTCTGTCTCTCTGTACCTCCCTCTGCCTGCCTGCCCGCCTGCCTGTTGTGCTCTTAAGTGTTACCCCAAACACATATTTTTTAACTGTAAGGAACTGATTTTACAACTCTGAATGTCCTTCTCTCTCTGTGTTTACATGGTCTGGTCTTTCGGTGACGTAAAGACTCCTCTAAGGACTGTACCACTGTTCTGTGTCAGACAGGGGTGAATGCCTTGACCCACTTGGACCGTTTAAGTCCTTTTAAAATTGTCTGTATTGCACTGAAGCTTTAGACTCGGAACGCGCACCTACGGACAAGCACATACTGTATGTTTTCTAGCTTTCTCCTCGAGCATTGCACTTTCTATATCCTTCACGATGAGAAGAAATACCTATATCATATCAGTACCGTCTGTAAAGTTATCGCTATGGTGAATATATAGATTGATATGGACCACGATATGTACTGTATGTGATGAAACAGTTTGTGCGCCATGTAACGTTAGACCACCATTGTAGATTGTCTCAAAATTATAGACATTAAAGGCACACTCTGTCACCTTTCTTTCCCCGGTGGTAGCACCACAAAGTACTTACACACAAACCAAACTAAAATTGTTTGATTCACATCAATCAAGCTCTTCTTTTTCTTTGTAATTTGCACTTGCAAAGACTCTCAACCCTCCAAAACAAACAAGTGTTATCTAAGGCCGCACAGGTGACCAGAAATAGAAGCAATGAAGTGTGCCTTTAATGAGATATGCCTGGCTAGTATCATGTCTGAAGTCTGATAACCCTGGGCTTATTTAGGAAGTGCAGCATTGCTCTGACCTGACCTTCTAAGTAACACATCTCTACATCCTGATGGTTGGTTTTAAACTGACAATAGCCCCTCTCTCTTTCTCTCTCTCTGCTGAGAATGACATTTATCAGAGCCCTAAAATAAGTATTATGTACTGTGTATATATAGCTCTGGAGTTTATATGTTCACCATTCAACAGAATGAATAACTCCAGAATGATTGAACAACAACGCCATATCTGAATCATCATCATGTATGGTCATTTTTATTTTATTTAAAAAGCCACATTCCCTCTACCCAAAAGTCTGGATTGGGTATTTCTACCAAAATACACTTAAACATTCTCAATCGTCTTCTTTCGCTAAGTATACCCCTTTCTGGACCAACTACACTAACTAAACAAGAAGCGGAAATATAGGACCATGTCCAAAGGTGTCTAAAGGGAATACTCTGTGTTGATATTGCTAGTGAAAATGGAAAAACCCTGTTTGCATGGTTTCTTTTAAAAAGACTGTAGCCATGGATTTGATTGTGAGAGAGAAAAAAACGCTAGATATTTTGTAGGAGGCAGCATAAGAAATGGAAAAACCTTCAATTTGGAAGAAGATTGTTCTAAAGCTCAACCCTTCTGTTCTGTAATAGCCTGCTGCTTTCTTAAGGTGTCTGTCTGATGGTCGACAGTGTGTGTGTGTGTGTGTGTGTGTGTGTGTGTGTGTGTGTGTGTGTCCATCCCATTTGGGACAAAGCCACTGTGTCATGATTGAGATGACACTTTCCCAACACTATAGCTGAACTAAATGTCCATCTCCACTGTTAGCTCTCTCTCTGCTTTACTTCACCAGCTCTGAAACCACTCTGTTCAGTATCACTTCACCACAAAGTTAGTCAATGGACACTGGCTGTTCATACTTTATGACGTCCTTTTTCGTCTTTTTTTTTTTTTTGTAACATAATCTATACAAAAGGTGTTTTATGGATGTTATAAATGAATATATTAATATGTACTGTATATTGCGTAAATAAATGAAAAGCAAATACTGAGCCATCTTTGATGTAATTGCCTCTTGATATTGTTTTAGAAATTGTTTAAAAACATTTAACGTTTGCCTTTTTAGTTTTTCTTTGTTCCTACCATACACAGCATAGCTACAGTATGTATCTATACACTCACCTTAGCAGGTTGGGATCAGTTCCATTCAAACAACCAACCCTGTGAATGAAAAACGTGGTCCTCTGTAGCTCAGCTGGTAGAGCACGGCGCTTGTAACGCCAAGGTAGTGGGTTCGATCCCCGGGACCACCCATACACAAAAATGTATGCACGCATGACTGTAAGTCGCTTTGGATAAAAGCGTCTGCTAAATGGCATATTATTATTATTATTATTATTATTAAAAACACCCTAAAAAATCCTAGGCCGTCATTGTAAATAAGAATTTGTTCTTAACTGACTTGCCTAGTTAAATAAAGTTAAACAAACAAACAAAAAAGCATCGAAAGTGATGGACAATGAATTCCTTTCCTGAATAGACTTGAGTGGAAATGGAATTGACTTCAGCCCTTCCATAGCTTTCAATTGAAATATACAAAATATATAAATAGCCCTCATAACAGAGGGCTCAGAGCCCTGCTACGATGTTAAATGTTCCACATAAAGAACAATTGACAAGCATACAACTGACCTGGTACAGTACAACATTGGTGGAAAATGTACATTTTCATCCTTTTAGTGGATTTCAGATTTTAAGACTCACCAAGTATATCATGTCTATAGACCAGTGATTCCCAAATGGCAGGTGAGGGCTGAATTATTTTGGGTTGTGGCTGGAACGAGTTCTATTTCTTCTAGCTTTATAGTCAATCATTTTGAGTCAGTAAAAATGAGTCACTATTCCTAAAGGTTTTGGTGGGTCATAAATGCTTGAGAACCACAGTTCTAAACAGCACAGTGCTGAGGGAAGCTTGATCAAATGTTCGCTCATATCCACACCTCAGGCACTCAGGTACTCTGTTTGGTGTATTTTCTCTATTTTCTTGGGAAACAACATTACCAGTGATGAGTACCACAGTATCATCTGTATGGACTTTCAAATACAGTGTAGCATAAGTCATTCCCTAGTAGTTGTCATGGAATAATGCCAAAGCACTATACAGCGTTTCCGTTCGTTCAATCATATCCAGACCTCCGTACTGCGTAGCTTGGATTCCCAGCCCTCCCCCTTGCTCTTCAGAACCTGTGTCTCTGCTCTCTGGAGCTCCTGGTTGTTGGGAAGCTGCAGCCCTGTCTCTATCCCAGCCTCAGGCTCCTTATTAAATGGGGGACAGTTCCCCACACAGGTCCAGTCAGGCCGGTGGTCGACTACCAGATCCAAGGTCGGTAGCAACGTCGTACTGGTGACGTCCCTAAGCCCGAGAGACGACGTCAGTGAGGGGCTGTCGGGAGCGAAAGTCTCAAAGGTTTCGTAACCCCCTTTCTCTACCCCATAATTACCCCATGATCCGCCCTCCTTGAGCCTCACTGAGAGTTTGATCTTCTTCCATCCTAGATGATTAAGCTCCAGAAGGTTGAGGAGGATGCAGAAAACCCCCACGCAGAACATGAAGAGGAGGAAGATGGTTTTCTCCGTGGGCCGTGACACGTAGCAGTCCACGGGCTGCGTGCAGGGTGCGGCCTTGCACAAAAAGTGGACGGGCACGCAGAAGCCGAAGAGAAACCATTGAGCCATGACAAAGCCCACCTCCAGCAGCGCCCGGAAACACACATGGAACACATAGTACTTGGAAAGGACGCCTCTGGTTCCCCCTCCACCTCCAGGACCCCCTGGCGCATCATAGTGGCTATTCCTGTAGACGCGAGCCCTGGCCTGGGTTAGAGACACGGCGGTGGTGGCTGTGGTGGCTGTAGTGGTGGCAGCTCCCTTTAGGAGGCTATGACTCTGGGCAGTGATTCCCTCCAAGACATTGGCCAAGCTGTGACCTAAGTGCCGGTGCGAACGAATGGAGCAGCTATCCGAGTCGCAGCTCCGGTTGAATGCCTCTCGACCTCCATCCTTCCCCCCGTCTCGAGGCAAGTCCCTTGGGTTAACCCCCTGGCCCAGCCCCCCGTGTCCCTGCGGCAGCTTCGACAGATTATGCCACGTATATATGATAAAACAGAGAGATGGAGTCGAGACACTGATGATGTGGAAGACCCAGAAGCGCGGCTGTGAGATGGGGGCGAAGGCGTCATAGCAGACAGTGGCACAGCCCGGCTGCAGGGTGTTGCACACAAACATCTCCTGCTCGTCGGCGTACACGTCCTCAATCGCCACGGCAATGATGAGGAGGCGAAAGATCACCATGACGGTGAGCCAGAGGCGTCCAATCATGGTGGAGTGCTGGTGGACGGCGTCCAGGAGACGTTTGAGGAGCGTCCACTCCGTCATGATGGCTGCCGATGGCTGTCTTCCTCTCTGAAAGACAAGATGGCTCCAATACTGTCTCAGTCTGGGCGGTACCAGTCCAAGACACCTCCACCCCTGGATTCAATGTGGGCAGCTTCTAGAGATCCACACTAGTCCTGGATAGCTTGCCTGGAACACAGCGGTCTAGGAACACAGCGGTCTAGGAACACAGCGGTCTAGGAACAAAGCGGTCTAGGAACAAAGCGGTCTAGGAACACAGCGGTCTAGGAACACAGCGGTCTAGGAACACAGCGGTCTAGGAACACAGCGGTCTAGGAACACAGCGGTCTCATCCACACCTCCATGCTCTTCCTTGGTTTTAGAACAGATATAGCCCTGGATCTGCTCTTCCACTGGATGCACTGACATACAGCACTCTGACTGCTGGTGTCCTGCTGCCTCGGGGAAGAAGGACGAGCTGCCTGGTGTAGCCTACAGCGGCATGTAAAGCGCCTTGAGCACTGGAAAAGCGTTATACAAATCCAATCAATTATAGTGTAGGCAGATCCAGTTCTCCTCTCTGTCAGTCCTGGATGTACAGGGAACAGGTGCTGTAGATCCACTGAAGCCCTGGATAGCTTGCCTGGAACACACAGCGGTCAAAGAAGGGCAACACCTCCCCTCATCCAGCCTCATTTGTTGTAGATGTAATATAGCCCTGGATCCTTTCTTCCCCTGGCTGTACTGGCAACTCCAACACTCCTCTGGGTCCACTCCAACCCTGGCTCTCTTAGGAGGAAATACCTGAGGACTGTCACTCTGAGCTGGGGTTAATGGTACACCAGCCGTCCTGTAGTACAAGATTCTTAGGATATCCACTGGTTGTAGATCCACTGGAGTCCTGACTCCTCTGTAGATAGACAGGCAGGCACTCTCCTGTCTCCTGGCCCTGTCTCTGAACCAGAGAAGTGGCGTCATCTCTGCAAGTGAGCCATCCCATCCCGGGACTTCTTCAAAGATAAGGAACGGTTCTAAACACACACACACACACACACAAATTCATGGACGCACACACAAAAACAGTCTCACACACACACACATTCATAGACGGACACAAAGACACACACATGCATTTGCACACACACGCACACCCTAGCCAGCTGGACGAACGGCCACTTGACACGACTCCCATGGTATGCCCTCTCCCTCTCTCTCTTGTCTTCAGGGTTCCATTTTAAACCCCCTTCTAAGAGACTCTTCCTACTTTAGAGAGCTCACTGATAGTGCTGGCTGATATACATTCTTTATAGATTACTCTGCAGCCTGAAGATACAGCAATGAGCAATGAGCTTGTCCATTAATGGACATTAACTTATAAATGTTACCCTGATTCAGAATCCAAACATAGGTATTTTATAAATGTTACCCTGATTCAGAATCCAAACAGAGGGATTTTATAAATGTTACCCTGATTCAGAATCCAAACAGAGGTATTTTATAAATGTTACCCTGATTCAGAATCCAAACATAGGTATTTTATAAATGTTACCCTGATTCAGAATCCAAACAGAGGTATTTTATAAATGTTACCCTGATTCAGAATCCAAACAGAGGTATTTTATAAATGTTACCCTGATTCAGAATCCAAACATAGGTATTTTATAAATGTTACCCTGATTCAGAATCCAAACAGAGGTATTTTATAAATGTTACCTGATTCAGAATCCAAACAGAGGTATTTTATAAATGTTACCCTGATTCAGAATCCAAACATAGGTATTTTATAAATGTTACCCTGATTCAGAATCCAAACAGAGGTATTTTATAAATGTTACCCTGATTCAGAATCCAAACAGAGGTATTTTATAAATGTTACCCTGATTCAGAATCCAAACATAGGTATTTTATAAATGTTACCCTGATTCAAATCCAAACAGAGGTATTTTATAAATGTTACCCTGATTCAGAATCCAAACAGAGGTATTTTATAAATGTTACCCTGATTCAGAATCCAAACATAGGTATTTTATAAATGTTACCCTGATTCAGAATCCAAACAGAGGTATTTTATAAATGTTACCCTGATTCAGAATCCAAACAGAGGTATTTTATAAATGTTACCCTGATTCAGAATCCAAACATAGGTATTTTATAAATGTTACCCTGATTCAGAATCCAAACATAGGTATTTTATAAATGTTACCCTGATTCAGAATCCAAACAGAGGTATTTTATAAATGTTACCCTGATGCAGAATCCAAACATAGGTATTTTATAAATGTTACCCTGACTCAGAATCCAAACAGAGGTATTTTATAAATGTTACCCTGATTCAGAATCCAAACAGAGGTATTTTATAAATGTTACCCTGATTCAGAATCCAAACAGAGGTATTTTATAAATGTTACCCTGATTCAGAATCCAAACAGAGGTATTTTATAAATGTTACCCTGATTCAGAATCCAAACAGGTATTTTATAAATGTTACCCTGATTCAGAATCCAAACATAGGTATTTTATAATGTTACCCTGATTCAGATCC